TCGTATTGAGAGTTGCAAAATTTTAGTTAGATTTATTGAGTGGAAACTTAATTATATACACGATGCTACATTGCTTCACGATCGTGATTATAATTTATTTTCAATTATATTTTATATTTTATTTATGGCAGAAGAGAACCACCAGGACAAGATACAGGCAACAGGAACTGCTCACATCTTTCAAGTTATCTCCTCACTTGTATAGCTGTCAGAGGAGCTTCAAACACGCAGTGAAGACGATTTCGGTTTGAGGTGAAGGAAGCAGGTCGCTATTTTTCATAAAGGGAGTTTCAAAGCGATTTGATAAATTGGTGTCACTAGAACGACAGCGCTAATTTACCGTTCGCTCAAATGAACACCGCCATTCGCTAAAGTTTTGTTCGATTAAACATCATGGGCGGGGCTTCGTTCGCTAAAACGTCGTTCGATCAAGTCAATGCTTCTCATGTCGTGCCCACTCAACGTTAATTACGGCACACGGTAGTGTGTTAATAATTCTAGATTTATAGTTTCTGCCATTTTGACAAACTGAATTGAAAAGTACCTGTAAAAAGTAACTTCGCTTAGTTACCAGTTACTTAAAAATGTACCTAAGATAAACATACAGATAAATATAAGTACCTAGGTTTGTACCTATGGTACAAAAAAGTACCTAGATACCGATTTCCAGTTTCATGAACCTAGGTGGTTTAGAACCCTAGCTGGTGGTATGTACTACATTTGAACTTGAAAAAACGGTAAACCTTTGATCTAGTGAAATGCATCTTCAGGTTCACCGCATAGATGGCGCCAGCGTGGCAGTGTGTTTTCGTCGTAAGAAATTTTAAGAGGTTTGAAGGCACGTCAACCTGCCTTAAAGGAGCGATGAACAATTTTTGTACTTTGCGCAAATACCGCTTAAAACGAATCCCTAACGTTAATGACCTATGAAACACGCGTTCGTTTTTCACCCCACGCAATAGAAGTCCCAGAAAAAAATTTAAGAAAAACGAGCAGCGTTCACCCCCTCAACTCGCAGCCAGAACAAGCGGCCACGTGATCTGGAGCTGATTATATGCCGCCAGTGTTGATCGTAGCCACGCGCTGGGGTTGGCAAAGCGCAGGACATGCGCTGAGTTCCAGACATCGTTATGGCTCGGCTGTTGTCGTCGTTGCAGCGATTGGACACGGGTCACAACCTGAATGCTTCTCGAGCTAGCAATTGTCACGAGCACAAGTCGAGTGCCCACGCAATGCTCGGGTCCAATCTATGAACCGCATTCAAATATCGTCACTTCGGTGTACTGCGATCCCCGAGTTACGTCATCAAATTTTGCAAAGGAGAGATTGAATGAAAATGATCGCTTTTGTCCTTGAAATTACACCGCAACAAAGGAGTTTCTTGGCCAATGGCGTTGCGTGTGAGTATCCTTGACTCCCAGGTGTGCCAGTAAGCTCGTGTAGAGAGAAAAACATTCCAATTGAATATCGTTGCACAGCTCCTTTAAATTTTTTTCTGGGACTTCTATTGCATGGGGTGAAAAATGAACGCGTGTTTCATAGGTCATTAACGTTAGGGATCCGTTTTAAGCGGTATTTGTGCACAGTACAAAAATTGTTGCACCGCTCCTTTAAGGTGAAACGTAGTTTTGATGGTGCTGAATATTTGGCATTACCTTAAAGGGTCTAATAAACTCCTTTGAAAGGCGCGTGCCGATTATTAGATGGTCGGAACCACTGTACGATGGCGGGACAACCGACATCGCTGAACCTTCAAGTCATTCCATAAAATAGCGAACGCCGGAGCGCGGTCAGCGCTAGGAGCCGACGAGTCAATCAAACTGCGTCGAAATTGCAACGTCACTGTGCTCATCGCCTTTTTCTGTGGGTGTGCTTTTGCCTTCTAATCCAGCTAAAGCATGAAGTGTGCTGCGACGGTGCAATTTAGTCCACCACTGTGCAGGGATTCCCCAGCTGCCAACAGAGGGCAGTTGTCAGCGTGAATGCGAGTACCATCCGAATGCTGGTGCACCACTCGTGCCCAATTTCTTACCCGCGTTTGCCATTGTTAGGTTACGCCGACCATTCGGCATTACGGCCATGCTACCATATCTTGCTTCACCCCAAATCAGAGCATAGCCAAGGGCTGGAGGACTTTCAAACACACACGCGCAGACTAAAAGAGGGAGGTCACGGCGCGTGTACTGTTCCCGACTGGTTTAGCCCTGGATAGATCCGTTGCTTTCGGGCAGGGGGCGCGGGCGCGTCTGGAAGACTTATGCAAGACACGACCAGGTTATGCTGGCTGCATCGTCCGTGTAGCGCTGTAACGTTCGATTCTGCACGTGCCACGTTCGAATACAAGCAGCTGTCAGCATATGCAGATGCGTGGTAACAAAACGCCTAAGAAAAGTTAAAAAAAGACCAGAATTCTGCAGCTCGCGGCCGCAGCGTTCCATTAAACATTCCTTTCATCTTCGCTTTCTAGCATAGCTTCCGCGAGCACATGTATTTCACTTTACGTGACAGCGAAGCCGAAGCTACTCGCCAAAGCGCGTTCTCCTCAACGATGCTCGCACTTGACGAGCGCGCGTGCTTGGCAGGGACGCTGAAAGCTCGCAGCTCGCTCTTGTAGCCTCTGCTACGCTAGCACTTAAAACGGAACAGAGTAGAAAAAACTCTAGTGGGCAAGCGTACTGATGCATGCTCGAAACGTGAGCCAAATATTCTATTTTGCTCGCCTGGAGCTCTGCTCAAAACTTGAGAGCTACGAGCCTATAGACCTGTTGCTCTGGGGCAGGGGGCGCGAGCGCATCCCCAAGAAGCGACCATGTTATGATGGCTGAACCATCCAGGTGGCTCTGTAACGTTCGATTTCGCACGTGCCACGTACGAATGCAAGCGTCTGAAGATGCGCGATAACAAAGCCTCTAAAGAAATAGAAATAATAAAAAAAAGAATTATGCAGCTCGCGGCCGCAGCGTCCCATTAAACATTCCTTTCATATTTGCATTCTTTCATTGCTTCCGCGAGTACGTATGTTTCAGTTTACGTGATAGCGAAGCCGAAGCTACTCGCAAAAGCACGTCCTCCTGAACGATGCTCGCACAGCACGAGCGCGTGTGCTTGACAGGGACGCTGAAAGCTCGCAGCTCGCTCTTGTAGCCTCTGCTACGCTGGCACTTAGAATGGAACGGAGTAGAAAAAAAAAAAAAAAAACACTAGTGGGGAAGCGTATTGACGCATGTTCGAAACCCGAACCAAATATTCTATTTTGCTCGCCTGGAGCGCTGCTCAAAACTTGAGAGCTACGGGCCTATAGCTCGCACCAGAAGTGTACGCGTTAACCCCCCCCAATACAACTAAATATGTTACTCGTTAGTGATTCTGAAAAGGAACTCGTTACTTTACCTGAAATGTAACGAGTTACTTTGTTCGTTACTTTGGCGAAAAAATACACAACTCTTTTTGTTGCATAGTTGATTCTATTTTTTTCAGTAGTCGTTGCACTTAAGCAGTAGTTGCCGCTAGAATTTTTTATTGGTTGTTACCCCGCTTCTATAAGAATACATTTCCGGCGACGCTGAAGGGTCGTTCTACTGACGCGCTCGAAGGAACGGCACTGTTGTCCTTCAGCAAGAGCTGGTGAATCTGGGATTTCTCTCTTTCTCTCTATTGTTCTATCTGCTTCCAAAGTTCGGCGGTGACAATGGGTTCCATGCCTTCCCGCGTTGGCAACCTCCGGGTTTGCATTCGGCCTGCGCAAAGTTCTTAAAGGTTCAACCAAGGAACCTTGTTGTGTTCTTTGAGTGAAGGACATTCCCAGATGTGGAGTTCGACTGACGTGTTCCCCAATAAACATTGTTATACTTGTCATACTGTTCAGTTGTTTTTCATGTTGCCCATTTGCCTTAGTCTCCACAGACGCATACTCGGGTTCGAATTAAAACGTGGCTGTTTAAACGTTGTTGTACACATCACTCCACAAAAGTAACGAAATGCCGTTCCTCATTAGTTTGCCTTAAAAGTAACGAAGTACGTTGCACGTTCCTTTTCTAACAAGTAACTATCTGTCACTCGTTGCCGAAAAAGTAACTGGGTAGAAGTAATTCGTTACTAGTAACACGTTACGTACTTACATGTCTGGCTCACTCACTGAAAAACGCCATGACGTTTCTCCTTAAGCGCTGCTTGACTGACATAATTGATTTATAGAAGGGGCTGTTTTCGCGCTTGTGGTATAACAAAGTACCCTATTTTGTGGTGTATACAGTATAAGGCGAATGTTTTTCTGTTTTTTTTTTTCAGAAATTTCTGTGTTACGCACTTATGCGAGGTCTCTTTTTTTTATTTTCTCTATGCGGAGCACAAGTTTGTCTGCTTGTTTTGCAGGGCTTGTCGTGACGTCAGGACGCCGAGGCTCTAATGGACTGTAATTGAAGGATAGTAGGTAGACCACAAAGCAGGCTGCCTTGAGGTCTACGACTATCATACAAACAGAGCCAACCAGAGCTCGGCGTTCTGACGTCACCACAACCCCTTCACAAAAGGCAGACGAACTTGCGTTCCGCATAGGCCTGAAACTTAGCTACGAATATTCGCCACTAAGGTTATCTTTTTTCTTTGAATCATTGCGAGAATATTGAAACTGGCTCCCGCCTGCGCATATATCGGGATCATACTGCAGATTTGAGGAATTTCTAATACAGTTCCGCAGCGCTGACCTTAAATTACTCCGACTTATACAAAAATGAAATTTATCTGCCGTTTTTTTTTTTTTTTTTTTTAAAAGACTGTTTATGAAAGCGGCGAGAGGGGTGGCAGGGGTAAGGGGGAGGGGCGCCACTTATAAGTTATAAACTAGAAAATACGTTTTAAGAGGCGTTGGTAGATATTTTGTCAAAATGCCCGCAACCATGGGGTATTTTAGCAGGGGGCGGAATTTCGCAAATTACGTATTGCGCCGGGCATGAATAGTTTCACGTTTAGCTGCAGAAGACGAACTCTGTCACCGCCGACAGGCCTCCATCTAGTGGCATTCAGGTCCGAGGACGGCGAGGCCCACGTGATGGACGCCCACTGTCCCCACCTGGGGGCCCACATGGGCCACATGGGTCGTGTGGTGGGCGACTGCATCGAGTGCCCTTTCCACGGCTGGAGGTTCAGAGGAAAGGACGGAGCCTGCACCCACGTACCGTACAGCGCGAAAGGTAAATATATAAGCGCCTACATGCATCGGTGGCGCCCAATTATTTCTTCTATCAGCTGTTATTTCCTCCTTCCCTCCCCCCAACTAATGATGACCGCCTGCCCTCTGGCTATGACGTACGCGATAGATTTTTCACGTGCGCAAGACTTCTCTCTGTCTCTCGATGGTGCCGCCCTCTCATGTTTCTCATTTGTGACGTCACTCGCCGTGACGTCATCGCGGGTTGCAGTAACATGTTGTGCCGTTCAAAGTTGGTCCATTTGCGCCATGGAGTTCTGCCAAGAAGCTCTCGGGGAAGTATTATAATATTTGTCCGTTACCCCATTGATTTCGCAAGGGGCGTATCCTCGACGTGATGATAGCCACTGGCTCTTGGCCAGATAAGAACGGGACTCTATTGCCTAGGAGGTGGGAACGACATATTATTCGTGTACTCCGATAAGATGGAGCCTCTCAAGCAGCGATCGAAATTCCATCGTCACGGCTGTCATCGCATTTTGTGCCTTTGCTATGAGCGCCTAAACCTATCACTTACACTGAATACGCCACGATCCTGCGCTTTCTTTTCGTACTTGATTGCCTTAGCAAATACACCCCAAAAATAGGATAATAGCAATTTTAATTTTTATAAATCTTTTTCTTTTTTACGGGCAGGAAACGTATATACAGACGGAGTGAATCAAGCACGAAAAAAAGAATCACTAGCCTTTTGACTGCTCCATCGTCTTATGGCATATACTCACCAATTCAAAGGCACGTAGTCCCGGGTGACGCCCTCCGTAATTGTGAAGGTTACACGAGTATGTTGATTTGTTCTGGACAATATTTCACGTATAAGGCATGGCATATCTTGGTTTAAGGAATGTATCCGCAAGTTAAGAAAAAAAAAGACACCCGAATACAGGCAGTAGTGTACCGTCATTTTCGCTAAAACAATTTCTGGAAGAGCTGTTTGAAGCACTTTTTCATTGCGGCGGACACCCTTCAAAGAGTATGTTCGTATTACTTCCCTGTAGCACCCTTTTCCACGCCCTTTTTACACCCTTCAAGAAAGAAGGGCGTTCGGCGCGAGATCCAATCTATTCCACAGTTGAAAAGTGCGTATTTCTCAAAATAAGGGCGCCGAACTGGTGTGACTATGAGTGTAAGTCTCTGGAATACTACTTTTATACCCTTGAGGATCTAAGAGATTCTATTGTGTACGTTTAGACTAGGAAAAACAACGCAAAACGATAAAAAAAGGCTAAGCAGTGACATTCGCTAGGTTTCTTGTGATTGCCTTCGTATATGCAAAAAAAAATAGGCTGTGACATTTGACGGCTAACAATTTAAGCTTTAAAATGTTTCGTTTTTTTTTTTTTTGTTAAACTGACTATTGTTGTGACCGAGAAGCATTGTAATTTGTAGCTAAAAGTTTAGTGGCATCTTAATCATTTGCTTCCTTTCCACTAGTACCGGAATTCATCAGAGCCAAGACCTGGCTCTCCTGCGAACTGCTGGGGCTTCTCTTCATCTGGTACCACGCGGAAGACGAACCACCGTCGTGGCACCTTGTGGACTGCCCTGAAATCAGCAGTGGGCAGTGGAAAGTAGAACGTCGGTTCGAGCACACCGTTCACTGCCACATCCAAGACATCGCCGAAAACGGCGCCGACGTAGGACACTTTAATAAACTCCACAAGGCATCGTGCCTCATGACCAGCGACCAGTTCGCCAAGACCGGGGGCTTGTGCTGGTGGGGACAACTAGCGACTCACTCGTGGGATGCGAAGTGGACTTCCAACGGTCACGCGGCCTCCGTGAAAGTGGACACTAGCGTTTCTCTGCTGGGGTTTTCACCGGACTTCCTAAAGCAGCACGTGGACGTGCGACAGGTCGGGCCGGCCCTGGTCATCTTGCACATGAAGGGCCGTCACGGAGACACCCTCATCGTGCAGGCGCTGATTCCCGAGGGTCCGTTGCGGATTCGGGTTTTACACAGTTTTTTTCCAGAGCCAGGGCAACCGTGGCTCATGCGCTGGATATATGTCGCCGGATTTAGAAGCATGGTAAGGAGGCTCTCTTTTCAGTGGCAGGCGTTGCGCAGGTTCTACACTGGCCGACACCGTAAGCGCGAAAACAACATCGACGATATTCGTTTTGTTTTATTTTATTTTGAAAGGATATTATCAGACCCCACGTCTTATTGCTTTGGTTAGTACTCCAAGTGAGCACTCTCAACCATTTTAGTAGTTTTGAAAACAGCTATTAACTTTCAAAAGGAATATATAAGAAACCCGGCAACCTCTCGGTAGCGCTAACGATGTCGGACAGTGTACATTTGTACGGAGATCAACATTATGTTCTGAATGATAGGTGTCAAGCAGGTTCCGTAGGCTTTTACCCAATTATGTACAGCACTTAAAAAAACTGCGAATTTATTACCTATCTTTTGGTAAATACTCTCAAATATTAATTCCCGAAGTCCTCGCTCCCCGAGCTAAAGGCTAAAATATATGTGCGAAAAACAAACCAAGCAAAACACAAAAATTGCATTATCATAAAATGTTTCCCCACCGATAAAAGAAAAACGAACAAGAAAACAAGCCAGGCAATGGTGTTCGTAAAACAAAAGTTGCAGACATGGGTTCTTTTTTTTTTTTCGCCAACGAAACAGCATTTGGAGGTTTGTGTACAATACATGCTCCCCAAAAACAACGCCAAAACTAATATTAGCGTTCCGATTTCTGGTAGATTTTTGTTCGATATCGGATAGGTTTTCGTACATGTGTTTCGGCCTCTACTGTTGAAGCTAAGATATCGAAGGAAATCGTCCAGCAGCCGCCTCCTAAACTAGCGACTACGCTGGTCCGCGACGCCAACGATCTATACCAGACGGGCCGTAGGATACAACGCTGAGAGAGCATGCTGCGGGTAGGTTTCGTGAAAATGAAATAATTTCCGTCTCAGTATTGACTGATCAAGGAAACCAGGTCAGATCGACGCTACACATTGAGTATACGGCGCTTTGACGAAACACCTCTCTCTAACTTTCGGTCTGCGCAATGCTCGGAAAGTTTTCGGTCCTTCCAGGTGGTCATATGTGACGTCGTTCCACGTGGTCATGTGACGTGACGCAGTGGCGTCACATGACGTCGTTATGCGGGGTCACTTGACCCGGTGACTACACCAACCACGTGAGCACGTGACTCAAAATGAGACCACCCACGCTGTGACCCACAGTCACCGATGGCATGCGAGATCACACTACCTGACGTGAGTATCACGAGCCGCCGCAGTTGAGAACAGCTGTGGTGGCTCGTCGCACTCAATTGCAAAACAATTGAATTAACTTTAATGCAGGGTAAAAAAAAATTAAAATAAAAAAACTAAGAATTTAAATAGACCAGATTTACTTCTTTTATATCCAACTTATTAAATTGAAATCACACTAGATTTAATTCACTGTTCCCCAAAAATTAATGTCCCTGAATAAGAAAGGTAGCGACATCTTCTCCCTCCTCCCCTGACGCGCACACCATTTATCTTTGTGTTTTGCTCTTTTACACCCACGCGTCGATTGTAGCGCCGCCTGGATTGCTCCAAGATATCAGACGGCCTTCCTATACTTGAGTCAGAGCACAGTCAAAGGCTGAAAGACACGCAAAATACACACACACAGGCTCAAAAACGCACTGTCACGATCTACCAGCCTCGAAGATTGTGCTCGAAGAAACACGGTGAAAGCCGTGACGTAGCACAGTAGGCGTTATTTGATTGGCAACATGAGCTCGTAGCTTGCACTGCACTCCGACAGCATAGGCATTTCTTCTCCCTCCTTGTCCCTCATGCACACTCTTATTGTTATATTTTGCTCTTTCGCGCTCGCGCGTCGACGGTAGCGTCGCCTGGATCGCTCCAAGATAGCAGGCGGCATTCTTCAAAGGATGTCGCTACTTTTCCGTATACCAGGAGCTTTACCAAAAATACGTTTACAGCACCCTCTAACGCCGAATCAGAGTGCAACTCTTGAGGAGGAAGAGCGAGGGGTACTGCGGGGAGGGTACACTCCCTCCTCCCTCCTCCCTCCTCCTCACCTCCTCATCCTCAAAACAGAAAATATAAGGCCTAGTCTTCCTTTCTCCTCCTCCGACCCCTCCTCCACCCCTTCGTCCTCCTCCCCCTCCTTCTCCCCTCCCCCTCGCCCTCCTCTCCTCCTTCTCCCCTCCTCCTACCTCCTCCTCTTCTCCTTTTTTCTCCCCCTCCCACCTACTCCGGCCGCGCGTTGTATCATGGGAAATGTCCCATAATGCACCCCGCTAGACCCTGGTGACGTCACTTGTGACGTTACGAGGGTCCCGCGGGGTTCCCAAGTTTCAAAATAAGCTAAGTTTAGTTCAAGGTCCTTTTCTTTTTTTTAGTAATTTACTATAGGCACCAGAGGAATCTTGAACTCAAACGTATTTTGTCGTTCGTTGAAAAAGAAAGAAAGAAAAGGAAAGCCAGATCGACAATCAAGTGATTCTCATTTCCTAGAAAGAGCTGAGCGTATACGACTCGCCAGCTGCCGGGGTGCACTCTACAGTATTAGCTCCGAGAGGTTTAAAAGGGGATTCTTACGGCGAACCGGCATAATGTCACGTACGCAGGACGGGATTTCTCCACGACTTACGTCACAGCTCGCCCTTGTTAGCTGTTGGCACTTTCGCTTCTATTAGTTTTTTCTTTTTCGCGTTTTTCGTAGGAAGGGTGGATACCTATATGTGGTTTTATTAAGGCGTGGCCTGTAGCTGCATACGAAACGCCAACGAACATTTCAGGCATAGTTTACAGGACAGGCAGTGCAAAAATCACAGCTGGTGTAAGAAAAAAAAAAAAAAAGTGACCACACTTGCAAGAGTAGCACGATAGATTTACATCTCACACAACCAATGCTGCTGTTTTGAATGAATTGATAAACTATGTATATTATTTCGTTTTTTTTTTTATCTCTCCCTCTAAACGAAAACGCCGAAACAGAAAAGCTGCATGCTACTCTAGCATCATCTTGAATATGTTCTGGGCCATGAAGAGAGAATCACAGATGAGACAGTCCAAGTGCAAGGACAAGCTAAAGTAGAAAGAATCCCAGACATTTACGAGCTAATTATTTATACCTAGTTACATTGCATGCATTTTAACTTTACGGGGCTCGTATAGTATACTGACACCCGCGTCTCTGAGGAAGCGCGTCCGTGCCCGAACGGTTAGGGTACTTGGCTCCCACGCGATGGGCCACGGTTCGATTCCGTGCAGCGTAACGTACGTTTTTGTTATTTCTAGGAATGTCGCGTTTTGGTGAATTCAAGAACCCTGTTGCTTATTCGAGGTTACAATGCTTTACGCGCCGAACCTTCTATTCCGATTTTTTTAGAAACACTCGCGTGTACAAAAGGGGCTCCGCGTGACAAGACAGGGAGAGTCTCGCCCCAGCGTTCGATTCTGCTGTTTCGCCGCCTGCGGCGCTATAGGCTTTTTTTTCTATTTTGTTCTGGGCACACGTTCGCCCAATTAAACGTTTAGTTTGCTTCAGTCTTTGTCGACTCATCAATTGTCATCCGTGACAATATTAATTGGCTTCACAGGTTGTATCTTTGGACTTGTTTATAATATCCGCCAAGTAGTGCTCAACGAACCTTAGTGAAGGTGTCTGCCCTTTATTAGTCCGTTCTCGACGATTTACTTTTTACAGACTTTAAGATCAAGGTTTTAGCTAAATCAAATTGTCCTGGAGCTAAAATAGCAGAAGCTTTCTCACGCAACCTGTCGGCCTCCATTGGTTCAACATTTTTTGCTACTAGTGCAGCACCTTCAACTGGAGAGTCGTTCAAATGCTAGCTTTTCCTCCTGTTTTCCTTCGTTGACAGAAAGTCCAGCCGTAGAACGTTTGGGAGCTGAGGAAGCTTTCGGGGAAATTCAGCGGTGTCTCTTTTACTTAAAAATGACAATTCAATAAAAACGGTGTATTGTCGAAATGCATAAGGCTGGATTAAACAAAAATAATAATGTCAGGAAAAAGGACGAACATCCCAAATTACGGCACTATGCTTCTGTGCATATTTCGGGCAGTTCAAACGCAACATCTCATACAGGAGTCTGGGTTGAAATCCAGGTACGGGCTGGAAGGAGTGACAGTCTCTCGTTTTTATTTTCCTAGACACTTCAACGTCAGCCCTTGGCAGGTGAATTAGTGCGACATTCTGTAATTTTGTCTTGAGGACGTCCACCGTATTTGATGCACACTTAATAGCTGATGTGGCTGGCCCTTGGAGGTTAAAAAGAGTTGCATGCTGTTTAGCGAGGCATCCAATCCCATCGCAAGCGTTCTTGCCATTCACAGTAGCTGAAAATAGCCATTTGACCGTCAAGTACTCAGTTTTAGTGCGCTCATGGAGTTGATACCGGTTCTTAAGATAACTTCTGCGCTGTCGCTGACCTACGTCCAGGGTGTTAAAGGCTACTTCAAAAATGTACCTAAGATACAGTTATACCCCTTTCAGACGGGAAGGTAAATGCCATTTTGATGGAATTTCATTCACCACTCGGCGAATCAGCTCGTGATGCTGGTTCTGCACGTGGCGCGTGCACGCGCCATGTGGCGTATTAAACACGCGGATTGGCCGAGCCGTAATGCCATTTTGCTTAAATGTCATTTAACGAGCCCGTCTAACAGGGGTATTGCAGTTACTCGTACGAAAAGGTACCGCGGTACGCACCTAAGTTTCGCTTAAAAATGTACCTATGTGCAAGTACAGTTACTTCAAAAACACTATTTCTTTTCCCTAAATTTCTCAGAATATATTAGAAGTAAAGTTTTTTTACTAAGGATACACACAGAAAAAAAAAAGTTCGATAATTGGGCTTTATTGGTGTCAATGCGATGTCTGCGTCGGAGTTGCGTCCTACGTACCTTATCCCTACGCTCCAATTGGTTCACCAAGGTTACAACTTCCCTTTTTTTTCCATGTCACGCCGATGCCGCCGAAACTCGGTTGTTGACGCTCTTGCCCTTAGAGCCGGTGCTGACGTC